CAATGAATGTACAAATGTGCTTTACACAATTGATGTATGTATGGATTGTGATAAGAGTTATATGAGCCCCTAATAAAATGGTTAAAAAAAAGATTGTTGAGCTAATGGACTAGAGAAAAGGTAAATAAATATTTCAACTTGTTTTAGTTATACTATTATAATGAATCGATTAAACAACATACATTTTTCCAAGAATAATTCTTGGAAACTCTTATTTCCAAGAAATAAGAATAATTCCAAGAAAACAGGTTTGAATATAAGCCTGTTAATAATTACCTAAGTGTCACTGGGCAAATCATTGTTGCCATAGATTTCATTTGATATCTAATAAGGAGATTGGGTTACATCATCTCTACCAAACTCCAGACAAAGCTCACTGTCATTGAGTTGATGACAACTCATAGCAATCCTTTAGGACATGGTAGAATTGCCCCTGTGGGTTTCTGAGCTATAAGTTTTCACAGCAGTGGAAATCCTCCTCTTTCTCCTGTAGTCATTGATGGTTTCAAACTGTTTTCCTTGGTCTTAGCCCAAATGGGTAAGCACTATGCCACCAGTCTCTTTTAAATTTAAATTTTGCTATACCATATCTGATAAAACAACTTTTAACTTGAAGCCTTGTTTAGAACTTGTATACATTGATTCAAAAGTTGAATGACTAAATTAAGAGATGTCTTACACACGTTTTCCTGACAAAACACCTCCAAAACTACACAACATTTTCTAGCAAAATATACTTTATTTTAAAATTCAAGCGACTGCTCTTTATGAAGTAGTTCTAGTGGCCTGGCAGGTTATGTAACCATTAAAAGTCAGTAGTGCAAATACAGCAGTTGCTCCACAAGAGAACACTCTTGTACAGATTTACAATCATGGAAACTCACAGGGGCAATTCTTTTCTCTCCTTTAGGGTCGCTACAAATCAGGATCTACTTGATGGCAGTGAATTTGAGTTGCATACTTACCTGGGAACACTCTGTAGATGTAATGAAGGTCTCTAATCATTTGACTTTGAAGCAAAAAGGCGATTATCATGGATGGGGTCTGACATAAGCAAGCAATATCTTAAGAGGCTTAGCGATCAGAGATAGAGAAGTCAGTAAAATACTCTACTCCTGTTTTGGCTTTTACGAATAAGGCTCCTCTCAGATTGCCATGAGAGGAACAAATGTCTAGAATCTGAGAGGAGCCTTAACGACTGAGTCTCCCAGAAAGCAGATAACAATTAAATGGAGTTGCAATCCTACAATTGCAATGAAATCAACTGTTAACAACCTGAGAATTTTGGAGGTCCCTGAGCCTCAAGGGAGACCAGAGATCTAGTCAGCTACATTTCTGTCATTTTAAAACTTGAAAAAAACACAACTAATTCAACCTGGATTTCTGACCTAAAGAAACCGAGAGATAACAAATCTGTGTTGTTTTAAAAACGTTTGCAGTAATGTGTCAAATAGCAATAGAAAAGTAATGTATTTCATTTTTAAGTTTTCCTTTGATAGAATGAAGAGCCACATGCTATATTTTTTAAAAAGAAAAGTCAATGGTTCAGATATATCTTTTAAAATTTTAATTTATACTAAGGTATTTTAGTAGTTCTTTTTAACTATAGAAACAACTCAGACATTTAAAGTTGACTAACACAACAAAGGAACGAACAAACAAAAAAAGCATATTAAACATATTGAAAATCCATATTAATATTTACCTGTAATAGTTCTGTGGTAAAATATTGATGTCCACAACAGTAGTCACACCCAAAGGAACAGGTGTAAAAAATACAAATGGTGGATCAAACGATAACTTGGGTGACTTTACTTCTCCAGTAATATACATTTTGCGAAAGCAGACTGGATTATCATTTAAAAGGATAGGCACCTCTACAGTATACATTTTAGGAATTTCTAATGAAAATAAAGGGAAGGAAATAAGAAGGAAATAAAAAGAGTTTTACACAAAAAAAATTTGTAACTTAAAAGTTCCTAAATATTAAATTGTACTATGAAATGATACACTAGGGAAGGAGAATAGATTACTCAGCGATTGAGCTGAGGCTGCTGAAAAGTGTAACATGTAATGAAGTGCTGCTGAAATAATATTTTGAAGTGCAATTAGATGCAAGTCACCTTAACATAGATTTCATTATTATGAAAAAATAAATATAGCTCTGGAAAGTACTGCAACCTTAGTTCTACCTTCAAAAAAACACAAACATTTTACTTTTTTTAGTATATTCAGCATGAAGATGAGGTCAGACAACTGCCATAAGGAGTACATAAACATTTTAACAAAGCAATGGGCTGAGACAAAAAGAATGTGTTTTAATACAGATTTCTTAATTTAGAAAAGAATGCCAGGGTCTACTGAGCAATTTTAGCTGGGAAGAAAAGACAGGAGATCCCCATGTGCCACTATGAGGGCAAGAGTTTGTTTTCGAGAGCAAAACTCAACTTAAGAGGTTAAAGGCTGACCTGGAGGTATTCTCCATTACAGACTGTGGACAATGGACTTTCAGTTCTAAAGCCCCAGGGAGAGAAAAATGTGATCTGGTGAATGTAAATTCAAGCAGAAATGTTAGAAACCAAGCACAGGAAGTCACATGGTCTGGCAGTGATCAGCGGTGCCAAAGAGGACATGATAGTACACTGCATGGTGTATGGCCATGTTTAAAAGAGACACTCGAGCCAGAAAGAAAAGCAATAGATTCCTTGAACTCAGCAAACCCTCTAGCTTTCTCTATAGGAAATATTTCACTTGGAAAAGAGAAGGTGGATGGAGAAGGAAGGGAGAGGCTAAAAAAGGAATATAATGAACTACTTGCTAATAATGGCCATTGAGCCCTTGGGAAAATATATGAGATTGGGAAAATACATAAATAAAATATATGAGATTTCTTTAAAATTTGAGCTTATAAAACAATTCATAAAGTAACTTTTGTATTAAAATATTTTAAATCTATAGGATGTTCACTTTCACCATTTGTACTGTAGGCTCTGGTCAGGCAAAATAAGTAAACAAAATGCATTCAGATGCAAAGAAAGCAGTAAAAAAATTCTGGTTA